CAGCCGTCCCCTCGGCCGCCGAGGAGGGGCCAAGTGCCGGCCCGGCCCGCCTCTCCCCTCCAGGGCCCCGCCAGGCCCTGCCGGGCCCTGCCGGAGATAGCGCGTAATAAGAGGGAGGGGGAGGCTCTCCGAACCCCCCTTCCCCGGGTCCACTGCCCAGCAAGTGAGCCCCTTCCCCAACCCCACAAAGCCTCCCAGACTGGGGTCATGGTGCCAGGGCTGCCCCGAGAAGCCCCCAGGAAAAGCAGGAGGAGACACCCCTGTACTCACCCACCGTCTCCTCCCCCTCGGCTGTTTACCTCACAGTCCCTCCAGCCTACAGGGCGCCGCCATCTTGGACGTACAGCACCTCCCCCCGTCGTGAAAAGTCCACGGCAGGCTGAGGCCTCCGCCGCGAAAAAGAGTCCCCGGCTGGACCTCGCCTCCGCCTCGAACCAAAGGACGGATGACCGCAGTCCACAGGCCCAGCGGACGGAAAAGGCCATTCCACTCATTACTGATGATGCGGACTGATCGGGAAAGAGCCAAGGAGAGATTTTAAGGTAGGGGGCGGGGACAGGCGGAAGGATCCCGAAAGGAGGTCGCTGAGAGATCTTGTGACTCTGAAGGGGGCAAAAAGAAGGGCCGGCGCGGCGGGAGGAGCCACGCGCGAACCCGAGGGGCGGGGCGCGGCGGGGCACGGGACGGGCCGGGCGGNCAAAAAGAAGGGCCGGCGCGGCGGGAGGAGCCACGCGCGAACCCGAGGGGCGGGGCGCGGCGGGTCACGTGACGGGCCGGGCGGTCGGGCGCTGTGCAAGAGGCGTAAACAAGCCGGCCCTGGCTGGGTGTGGTTGGAGCGCCCTCCTACCTGTCCTTGGTTCTGTTTCTTCACTTCACAGACCTGGTGTCCCCTAGTGTCAACCTGTGCATGGCCACACGGCTGCGATCGTGTTTCCCAAAGAGCTGCTGGGGCCAGCGTGGGTGAAGGGCCTGCTTTTGAACCTTAGCGGAGTTTGCAGCTCACTTAGGGAGAGAGTAAAACGCTGGTCCAGGACAGCCATCTATGCTTTGCAGAATGTTTGCAAAAGCCCACCACTGGGACTCTGTGGAGAAGCACAACTGGCTTCTGCCTTCAAGTTGCTGACACTTCACACCTAACCATGACATCTATGGAAAACCAACCCTAATAAGAGGAGCCAGCTTTAAAATCACAACACCTTGATTCATTTCCTGCTCTGCTACTTCCTCGCTGTGACAAGGCTTTAAGTCCTCTAAGCCTACGTTTCTTCCTCTCTGGAATGGGCATAATAACACTTGCGACGTGAGGAATAAAGGAGATGAAGTATGGCAGGTGTTTAGCACGGTGCCCCACGCCTAGTAAATGGTTGGTAGATGATGGCCCTTATGTGATATGCTTGAGAACTGATACAAAGCAATGAGAGAGGGGGCAGAGAGCCAGAGGAAGTCTAATTGCTGTATCCGAAAGGCTTTCTAAGGAGTAGGCATCCAGCTGGGTTTTAAAGGAAGGTAGGTTTTATGAAATAGAAATTGGAGGCAGCTGGGACAAGAAAGGCGTTTCAGGCAGAGGCAACGTAGCAGCCAGAAAATGCTGGGTGAGGTATGGGAATAACAGGTTTTGTCATGGGAACCCATTGGGTCACAATGCAGGGCAGCTCATGATCAGGGGCCAGGTGTGTGAGTGGCCAGCACAGTGGGTGCCATGAGCATTCTGAGAAGGCCCAGCATGGTTCATGGTAGGGCTGCTGCTAGCTGCTTTTGTGAGAACTAGAAAATGGTACCCCCTCTGGGCCCATATCCCCAAGAGCAGAGCCCAGGCTGTGTTTTGGCCCCTACCCACTCAACCCCCAGCCCTCCTGGGTTCCTGGAGCAGTGAACGACCGTTATAACCCTAGGTTTGGAGACATGAAGGCATATGAGGGAGGTGAGAATTGAGCTGGGGAACCTGCCAGTCTGACATGGTCACAGGGGCAGTTGGGGGAGCCAAGCGTTCTATATTCAAACAGACCAGAGTTTGAATGTAGGTTCCTGCCATCGTGCTGAGTGAGTCTCAGTCTCCTCACCTGCAACACAGGGGTAATAATAATGCCTACCTAATGTGGATTTGGGGTGGATTCAGTGAGACATTCAAATATAACTGGTGTAGAGCTTCAATTAATGTTAGTGTTAACTAACCATGCTCACAGTCAGCATCCATCACTCCCAGGAGTTGGCCCACCAAGTGCTAAATTCACCTTCTCCGTAACCGCCCAGGGATAGTCTGCTTGGGGTCCAGAGATGGAAATGTTCAGGGAGAAGGGGAAGGGGCTGGGTTCTGTCTGTTCCACCAGTCCACAAACCATTTTACCATTGCGTTCACACCAGGACTGGGATTCAAGTGTGTTCAGAGATTTCTGAGACCACTGGTGATTGGGAGAGCTAAGGTTAAGGGGTGGGGTGGGGAGCCCTCACTGCTCCAGAGCTCTGACCCAAGAACCCCCTTCCTACTCCCAGCCTTCCTTGCTTAGGTGACCTCATCCTACCAGAATTTGCTCCTCCATGGAAGGGAGCAATGACACATGGAGCTCATCAACTGCTGGCTCTCGAGGGGGCCACGTTCACACCAGGACTGGGATTCAAGTGTGTTCAGAGATTTCTGAGACCACCGGTGATTGGGAGAGCTAAGGTTAAGGGGTGGGGTGGGGAGCCCGCACTGCTCCAGAGCTCTGACCCAAGAACCCCCTTCCTACTCCCAGCCTTCCTTGCTTAGGTGACCTCATCCTACCAGAATTTGCTCCTCCATGGAAGGGAGCAATGACACATGGAGCTCATCAACTGCTGGCTCTCGAGGGGGCCATAACTGCGTTGTAACTGTTTATACAGTGTCTGGAAGAAGAATGGTAATTGTTCTCAATATGGACCACCAGGGGCCTGTGAGAGGAGGAAAGAAAGAAGAGGCGGAGGCAGCCCTGCCACCATCCCTGGCCATTTCCCAGTTTGGGCCATGTAGATATTTTCTACATCTCCGGGGTTGTTTTTTGTCATTTGCTAAAAAGAGGTTAATAAAACGCTATGTTCCGTGCACCTCCCTGGAGCCTCCCTGGGGCAGGGGCTTTCTGGCCGGCCTGTCTGAGCTTTGCAGGAAACAAAAGGGCTGAGCTCTGTGTAGGCAGGTGGTGCTGACTGGTTGCACGTTGGTGGCCATCCATTACATTGTCTGTGCAGTGTCTCCCCTCCCATTTCTGAGGAGGTGAATTGCCCTTCCCCAGGTCCTAATGTGCTGGTGGGGTTGACAATCTCTGTACCACCAGGCCACAGCACCTGGACCAAGACTAGCCAACCCGAGATTCCCATCACCTAGCCAAGGTGATTGGTGCACCATTGGACATGTGACTTGAGCTTGGCCAATCAGAGTGCTTCCCTGGGTCTTATGTATGAATGCTAAAAGAGAGATTTTCTCTTTCCTCTGGGGTCACTAAAGGGATGAGAAGCTGTGGCCCTCTCCCTCTCCTTGTCCTACAGCAAGCTGTGTGAGAAGTTAGGCCAAAAGATAAGACACAGAGAGACACTTCCAGAGTCCCTGAGAACCACTTTGCCCTGGTCTTCGAAGTTCCATGAAGCAATAACTATTTTGGCTGATGCTAGTTTCAGTTGGGTTTCTGTCCCTTACACACAAAAGGCCTTCTGGAAGCAAAGAAATTTGAAGGCCTTTGGAAGGACACTACTAGTTGGAAATATTTCCCTCTCAGTGTAAAGTTTCTCCCTTTGAATTGTCCCCTGGCTTAAGCTTTCAGCTGTCTCTGTCACCACCTCCTTGCCAGCTGCAGTGCCTTCGGTGTCACACTCCTCCTGCAGGATGAAGTCTAAGCTCCTGTGGTGGCCCCTGTATTAGTCCATTTGTGTTGCTATAACAGAAATACCTGAGTGGGTAATCTATAAGGAAAAGAGGTTTATTTGGCTTACGATTCCGGGACAGCTGCATCTGGAACATGCCTCAGGCTGCTTCTACTCATGACAGAAACTGGCAGGCAGCCAGTGGGTACAAGCAAATCACACAGTGAGAGGAAGTGGGGGGTAGGTGCCAGGGTCTTTTAAACAACCAGCTCTCGTGGGAACTAATAGAGGGAGAACTCACTCATTAATCCCCCCTCCCCCAGGGAGAGCATTAATCCATTCATGAGGGATCTGCCCCCATGACTCAATCAGTTTCCAACACTGCCACATTGGGGATCAAATTTCCACATGAATTTTGGAGGCGACAATACACCAAACTCCATCACACCCCTCTATTGAATATTCATTAGGTAGAGAAACTATAAAAGCTGAATCCCACTGGAAGGCAGGGTTGTTGTTCACTTTCCTGGAGGCAGCCTGCACTTCCCTGGCTGAGGTGTGTGTGCTTTGCTTTGTATCAAACTTACTCTCAGCAAGCAGCTGCTCACTCTCTTGAGCCAGCCTGTACTCTGTACCAAACTTTAAGTATGGTTTTCTTGCTTTGGTGTTAGACTTGATGTCTGTATTGAGCTTACTTTTGTGTTAGACTTGGTGTGGGCCTGCTCAGTCTCTGGAGCTAGGCTGCAGTCTCTCTGTGGAACCTGTGTTTCTTATCTGTTATATTAAACCCATTCTCACTGTGTACTGTGACTCTGCCCTTGAATTCTTTCCTGTGGTGGAGTCAAAACTAGCTAAGAGGACTGGGTGGGTTGAGGGTGGCTATCAGGCCCCCCCGAACCCTACCTCTGACATCACTTGCACTACTGGATATCTATCCTAGGCTGCTGTGGCCCTATTCTCTCCTGTCATGTCATTTCCCCTCGCCATCTAGCACTGTGTCCTCCCGTACCTGGAACACCAGGAGGCCTCACACTGCCCTGCCTTTGCTCCAGCTGTCCCCTCCCCTCTGAACTAGATAGCCTCCCCGTCCTGTGCTGGTCACTGTCCATCTGCCCTTCTCTGTCCCACTCCGGGCACAGGAGGCTGACCGCTGCCTGCTGCACCTTCTGAGCTTGCCCTTCTGCCACCTGTCACTTTCGACCAAAATGAGGTGGGAGCAGGGGACAGAGAAAGAAACTTTTGGGGGCTGGCTGGTTGGCTCAGCTGTTTAGAGCACAGCCTTGTAATACCAAGGTCAAAGGCTCGGATCCCCATACCGGCCAGCCACCAAAAAATAAATAAGTAAAATCTCAGGTAATAAAAAGAAAGAACCTTTTTGCCTGGTCTAGCTGTGACCCAGGGCTCCGGCTATGTGGCCCGTCTCTACCTGTGTGTTAGTAATGGCTTCCTCCCCTACTCTTCTCATCTAGCAGTGATGTCAGCTCCCCGCTGTCACTAGTCCCCAGGTAATTCGCCATCTCTTTTTTCTCTAAAGCTGAGCA